TTTTAAGATAAGGTCTTGCTCTGTCACCCAGGCTGGAGTGCAATGGTGCAATCACAGGTCACTGGAGCCTTGACCTCCTGGGTTCAAATGATTCTCCTGCCTCAGCCTCCCCAATAGCTGGGACTACAGGTGTGTGCCACTGTGCCCAGCTAATTTTTGTATTTTTAGTAGAGATGGGGTCTCCATGTTGCCCAGGCTGGTCTTGAATTCCCAGGCTCAAGAGATCTGGCTGCCTCAGTCTCCCAAAGTGCTGGGATTGCAGGCATGAACCACTGTGCCTAGCCTAGCTGCTTTCTTTAAGTATCTTGGTGCAGAGCACACTAGAGTTGGACAGCTCCTTTAGTAGGGGTGGGGGTCGTGATTTAGGTAGGGATTTTGGAGTGAGTTATGGGAAAAGTTTAGATCAGGGACAGGGTCTTAGGACAGTTGAGAGTCAAAGTCAGATGAAGGACTTGAGCCATCTGGGTACAACTTGGGATTCAAGGTGAGTAAGTGGACTAAGGATGGGTTGGGCTGAAGCCCAGATTTGTCCTGGGGTCTAGGACCAGGAAGGGTTGGATTTGGTTTCAGGATGAGCTTGGGTGGGGGGACTATTGGAGATGAGATAGCTGGAAGTCAGGACTCGGGGCCATTAGATTAGAGTGGCTCAGATTAGAAGCAGGAGCACTGGAGGCATGAAGACCAGAGATCCAATCAGGGCACGTCTCCTGTCTTGCTGTGCTTTTGGGGAGGTGACATCCCTTCTTGGAGCCTCAGTTTCCTCCTGTATAAATCGGGGTAATATTAGCACTAACCGATAATGTGAGATGTGAGTCATATCTAGTTCTGTTCTTGGCACTGGTGAGCATTCGCCTTTCTGTGATAAGTATCAGAGCGCTTTGAGGACAGGCATTTGTCTCTGTGGGTTTATGTCCCCTGGTGCCCAGCTTGCTGCCTGCTACCCTCCCTTGGCCACCTCCTTTCATTTCCTGGGCCTAGGGAGCTATAGAATGGGGTTATATTACAGGAGTGGACTTGACGCTGCAGCTGGGGTTCAAGCCTGAAGTCCCAGGTCAGGCTTAGATTGGAGGATAAGCTCGGGGTAGAGCTGGATGGAGCTGAGGCTACCGAGGATCAGGGTGGGGCTGCTAGGCCTGTGTGCTAAACGTAAGAAGGAAGGCCTGGTGGGAGTGAGATGTGGACGGGGAAAGTGGTGGGCTGGGGAGAGGACCAGAGGGCGGCTAAATCACACCCCGAGATCTGACAACTGCCTCTTTTGGGAACGCTGCAGCCCCATCACATCTCTGAGGCCCCTCTCAGAATGGAAAACATGTCTCACCCGAAACCTGGTGGGGCAGGACGGGAGCTTGGGTGGCTCGCCTGAGGAGGAGGCCCAAGGCTGCTCTCGCTCCTTTTGGACGTCACCAGCCTCCTCCTGGGCAGCTGATACCTTCTCATGACCACCTTCCACCTCCTGCCCTACCCTGTGCTGCACTGTGGTTGACACCCCTGTGCCACTTTCTGGAGGGGTAAAAGGATAAGGCAAGATCCCCCAATGCCTGAGGGCTGTGTCTTGTCCTGCCAGAGGAGGTCAGAGGCCTGGAATGGAGGACATGTCTCTCGGGAAGAGACACTTCCAAGGTGGTTGGGGGTAAGGGGGGAATCTGGGGGAAAGGCGTGGGGGGTGTGGTGGAACAGGGTCCCGAGAGCCCTACTGGCTTCCCCTCCTTCACTCCACTTCCATTCCTCCTCTGTCCCCAGAAATAAGAATGTCTAAGCCCCTGGAGGCCGAGAAGCAAGGTCTGGACTCCCCATCAGAGCACACAGGTGGGTGGGCAGGGAGCAGGGGGGCAGGAATCACCGTGGGCAGGGGAAGTGGGTCAGATGGGAAGAGGGCTGGGAGGGGACAGGTGTGGTAGGGGTGCCTGTTGACAACACATCCTTTCCCTCTCTTTGCAGACACTGAAAGAAATGGACCAGACACTAATCATCAGGTCAGGAGGGAATGGATAAGTGGGACGGTGTGGGAAGAAATGGGGAGAGGGGTGCAGAGGGGACTCTGTGCCGCCTGGACCAGGAGGGCAGGGAGGGGGGTGGTCAGAAGATGCTCCACTGCACTATTCCATCTCCCTGCCCCTACTTTCTCTTTGCAGAACCCCCAGAATAAGACCTCCCCATTCTCCGTGTCCCCAACTGGCCCCAGCACAAAGGTAAGCAACTGTCGGAACAGCCAGGGAAGCAGGCAGCACTGGGGAGAGGGACCTCAGAAGGCCTGCCTCAGTCCAAGGCCTGAGAGAGCACTGAGCCTTGGTACCTTGGTAATGAGGTTCCTCCCGCCCCTTCTCACTCTTGGGCTCCCACCCCAGGTCTGTGACTCACCCAGGCTCCTTCCCCTTCCCTAGGGGGTGGGGGTGGCCAGGGAAATCCCCCCCAGAGCCCCAGGGTGATGAACAACAGGAAGCCAAAGGCCCGCCCCCATCCCAACTTCCCTGACCCAACAGGGGCCTGCACCACCTCCTGTCCCCCAATACACACATTTATCTACCAGCTGAGGTGGGGGTGGGGGGTTGGCACCAGTTGAGGATAGCTTTAGGGATGCAGGAGGAGAGGATGTCAGGGAGGCCGGAAGCAGCCAGGCAGTGCAAATTCCACATCCAGATGGGGCCCTGTACCTGGCATTCTGGGCTTCTTGGGGCTACTTGGGCCCAAGTCTTCACCCTTCAGCCTGGTCAGGGGTACCAGGCAGGTCCAGAGGCCTGAATGTAGCACTGGAGGTGGAGGCAGAGAAGGTGTGAGCAGGACTCCAGACACTGACCAGCAGTGGCTGAGGGATGGGGTAGGAAGCTGGGAACTGCTCCCCACCCTGCTACAGCTTTGCTCTGTGACCATGGGAAAGTCACTTCCCCTCTCTGGGCTTCTCAGTTTCCTCTTCTCTATCATTGGTCGTGGGGGAGGGGACAGTCAGATGGGATGGCCTCTGTGGTTGCCTCCATGTCTCGTGTACCCCCATGCCACTGTGGGAGGAGAGGACAAAAGTGCTTTGCAAGCAGATATCCTGCTTCTGTGCTGAGTGCTTTAAACGGGGTCCAGAGGAGACAGGCTCTTGATCTTGACCTCCGTGACCCTCTGATGGCAGATTTGGCTCTTGCCTTAGCCCTCGGAGCAGACTGTGTATCCATTGCCCCCACTTTGTCCTCATTTGAATCAGATCTTTGCAGTCTGTTCTCAAACTGGCAGCAGGCTTCCTTCTTTTGGTGATGCCAGTGGGACCAAAGGAATTAAGGTTTCTCCCCCCCTTCTTGGCCTCGGGCTCAGTCCACAACTCACCCTGTTTCTCTGGCCTTTGCCTCTCAACTTCTCTCCATCTTTTCTGTCAGTCTTTCCCTAACTGAAGTGATTCATGTGCTCCTGTCACAGTCTCAGGCATGAGACCACAGTGTGCAACTATTTACATAATAATTTTGTTAATTGGCTCAATTTTTAAAAAACAACTTATTATGGAAAATGTGAAGTGGAGACAGAAATAGAGAAGGGTATAATGAAAATAAACCCCCTAGATACCCATCAGTCAGCTTCAACAATTACCAACTCATGAAATGGCTTGCTTTTTGACAGCTTAAATAAATGTTTTTTAAATGGAAATTTCACAAATGGAAAACCAGAATCACTTGCCATGGAAATAAATACGATGATTATTAAAATTTACCCAGAGTCTCTTGTGTGCTGAAGGGTCTAAACTTCAGAGGCCTGCTCTCTTCTTATTAAAAGGAGATTAGGGCTGGGGGCGGTGGCTCACGCCTGTAATCCCAACACACTGTGGGAGGCTGAGACAGGTGGATCACCTGAGGTCAGGAGACTGCCTGGTCAACAGCCTGGCCAACAAGGTAAAACCTTGTTTCTTCTAAAAATACAAAAATTAGCCGGGCATGATACCTGTAATCCCATCTACTCAGGAGGCTGACGCAAGAGAATTGCATGTACCCAGGAGGCAGAGGTTGCAGTGTGTTGAGATTGTGCCACTGTACTCCAGCCTGGGCAACAGAGTGAGACTCCATCTCAAAAAAAAAAAAAAAAGGAGATTAGGCCAGGTGCAGTGTCTCAAGCCTGTAGTCCTAGCACTTTCGGAGGCCAAGGTGGGTGGATTGATTGAGCCCAGGAGTTCAAGACCAGCCTGGGCAATGTAGTGAGACCCTGTCTCTACAAAAAATACAAAAATTAGCTGAGTGTGCATGCCTGTAGTCCCAGGTACTTGGGAGGATCGCTTGAGTCTGGGAAGTCAAGGCTGCAGTGAGCCCTGATGGTGCCACTGCACTCCAGCTTGGATGACAGAGTAAGACCCTGTCTCAAAAGAATAAAATTAAATTAAAATAAAAGTGGAGATTAGCTAGTATTGGAGAGATGTTAAAGATTCCCAAGCACTGGCCGGGCGCGGTGGCTCATGCCTATAATCCTAGAACTTTGGGAGGCCGAGGCGGGTGGATCACGAGGTCAAGAGATCGAGACCATCCTGGTCAACAGATCGAAACCCCATTTCTACTAAAAATACAAAAATTAGCTGGGCATGATGGTGCGTGCCTGTAGTGCCAGCTACTCGGGAGGCTGAGGCAGGAGAATTGCTTGAACCCAGGAGGCGGAGGTTGCGGTGAGCCAAGATCGTGCCATTGCACTCCAGCCTGGGTAACAAGAGCGAAACTCCATCTCAAAAAAAAAAAAAAAAAAAAAATTCCCAAGCACCAATCAGAGACTGTAAGACAACCAGAAACAATGAAAAACCGCTGAAAAGGGAATAGTGTGCTCACCATGGCATTCAACGTTATTTTTTAAAAACTTTTTTTTTTTTTTTTTTCTGAGACAGAGTCTCACTCTGTCACCCAGGCTGGAATATAATGGCACGATCTTGGCTCACTGCACCCTCCACCTCCTGGGTTCAAGCAATTCTCCTGCCTCAGCCTCCTGAGTAGCTGGGACTACAGGTGTCACCACCATGCCCAGCTAATTTATATTTTTAGTAGAGATGAGGTTTCACCATGTTGGTCAGTCTGGTCTCAAACTCTAACCTTAAGTGATCTGCTTGCCTTGGCCTCCCAAAGTGCTGGGATTACAGGTATGAGCTACTGCATCCTTGGCTGCACTCTGGCCTGGGCGACAGAGTGAGATTCTGTCTCAAAAAATAAAAATAAACAAAAATAAAAATAAAATATATATATGTATATATATATGATACACGTTAAAAACAGACATAGGTCTTCAATGTATGACTCTGTGAACTTTCAGAAACTGAGCATACTCATGTCACCAGCACCAGATCAAGAAGCAGAGCACGACCAGCCTTCCAGAGGCCCTTAACGCCCCTGCCAGGGACAACCACTACCCTGACTTCTCATACTCAGTGTCATTTCATGCTGCATCTCTGCAGCACTTATTTTTTTTTTAAACTTCTCTCTCTCTCTCTCTCTCTTTTTTTGGTAGAGACAGCATCTCACTCTGTTGCCCAGGCTAATCTCAAATTCCTAGCCTCAAGCAATCCTCCTGCCTCAGCCTCCCAAAGTGCTGGGATTATAAGCATGAGCTGCCACACCTGGCCTCTGTAGCTCTTAAACTTTCTAATACTTATGTTCCATAATTTGGGACATGCCACTCACTGTCTACTATTTGGCCTTTCCTTGACCTCTGTCTCTGTCCACGTTCCAAATATCACCCCCACTGCCAATTCGCTGTATCATTTTGCATAAGTTGCTTTCCCTCTCTGGACTTCCTTTTACAAAATGGTATTGGGATATCAGGCTGAAGGATGATCCCATTGTCCACTTTAGGCCTGAGGGTGTGTGATCCATCAGGCCATGCCTTCTCCCACCACTGTGTATGCTTCATCCAACAGGCCTTTCAGTAACAACTGCTGCTGTCTGGCTTTTCACCTAGGAGCAGAGGAGGCCAAAGTGGCTCTATGGTGCTCTGTTCTGTGTGTATGGTGCAAGATGTGTCCATATCATCTTCAGAGAGACACAGAGAGGCTTGGCAGAGGTCAGGGGTGGAGGCTGAAGCCTGACAGTTCCTGGGCCATATCTGGCTTGTCCACAGTGCAGGACAAATATTGTGCCTTGCTTATTCTGCCAGTATTTTTGTTCCAGATTTTGAAAAGAGTGGCCAGCAGGAGCCGAGTAGGAGCTGTATGGGACTTCTACTCAGGCAGCGCTCTCTCCAGTCCACCTCCATCCAGCCCTGCCCCCATCACACATTTGTGCCCATTTCCATAAGCATCTGAGTTTGTAGCCCAGGTTACAAGGTGGTGGTTTTTCTTAGTACCTGAAAACCTTTCCTTCCAACCAAGTATTACTTCACTGGACAAATAAGAGATGCACCTGGCTAGGTGCAGTGGCTTATGCCTGTAATCCTAGCATTTTGAGAGGCCAAGGCAGGAGGATCGCTTGAGTCCAGGAGTTCAAGGCCAGCCTGGGCAACATAGTGATACCCTGACTCTACAGAAAATTTAAAAAATTAGCCAGGTGTGGTGGTGGGCACCTGTAATCCCTGATACTCAGAGGCTGAGGTGGGAGGATTGCTTGATCCTGAGAGGTAGAAGCTTCAGTGAGCTGTGATCATGCTACTGCACTTCAGCTTGGGCAACAGAGTGAGAGAGAGAGAGAGAGAGAGAGAGAGAGGTACCTCTGTGTGATACAGATGAAGAGTGTGGGATCCAGAACCCCTTTATTTGACCTCCCAGATGCCCAGTGGAACTATTTTCCTTTTTTTTTTTTAAAGAGACGAGGTTTCACCATTTTGGCCAGGCTGATTTTGAACTCCTGACCTCAAGTGATCCACCCATCTCGGCCTCCCAAAATGCTAAGCTTACAGGTATAAGCCACCATGCCTGGCCACTATTTTACATTTTACAGGCAGGGAAACTGACTCTCAGGAGGGGGAAAGCATTCTGCAAAGGAGACTTCTCCTGTAGGGAGTTTGGGTGCAGGTGTTGTGTTAGCACTATCTGATTGATGAGGAAACTGAGGCCAGAGGAGTGGTTCGAATCTCCCAGTGGTCGGCGTAGGACCATGAGCTGCAGCCTCATGTTCACACCCCAGTCTGTTCCTCCTGTGCCAGTCTGGTTGCCATTGCCACACTCGTGCCCTCTTTTTGGTTCACAGGTGGGCATTCTCTCTGGCCTCCACTTAACATTCTGGGGTCCCGGACCCTGCCTCTCTCCCCCCCAGATCAAGGCTGAAGACCCCAGTGGTGATTCAGCCCCAGCAGCACCTCTGCCCCACCAGCCGGCCCAGCCTCATCTGCCCCAGGCCCAACTCATGTTGACGGGCAGCCAGCTAGCTGGGGTAAGTACTCAGGGTAGGATGGGGACAAGGGCACAAACCAGCCACCCCTCATCTGTTACAGGGCTGGTGGATGGATGAACTGTTCCACCAAGGCCATGGCCACTCTCGCACGCCTGCCTGTGTCCTCCAGGAGATCTTGTCCCCTCACTTGCTTGGCTTAGGCACTAATCCCTCTCTGCCTTCTCTGCTCCTCTCTTAACCCCCTGCTCCGGCTCCCGCTGATCCCGCTGCCCCACAGCTCACGGCGCTGATGCCAGCCCAGCAGCAGCTCCTCCTGCAGCAAGCCCAGGCCCAGCTCCTGGCCGCCGCCGTGCAGCAGTCCAGTGCCGCGGCTGCCGCTAACGCCGCTGCCGCCGCTGCCTCTGCCTCTTCCTCCACTTCCTCCACCTCCTCTTCTGCCTCCTCCTCGACCTCACAGCCCCCAGCCTCCTCTGGGGGGGGTGACCTGCCACCACCACAGCCTGCCAGCCAGCCCTCTGGGACCCCACAGCTTACCTTGTCCCAGCCTATCCAGCTCACAGCACAGGTAAGGGCAGCCACTGGGGACCAGGCTCCCTGCAGTGAAGGACATGCAGAAGCATTGAGTGTGCAGGAAGGAGCTGACTGGTTATCATGGACGGTTCTGACCACTAGCCACATGCCAGTTCCTAGCAACCCTGGGAAGCCTTGGGAGATGTTGCTGTCCCATCTTACAGAGGGGTAGAGTGAGGCTCACAGGGAGGAATATCCCACATAATAATCTTCCCTCTGGTGGGTAGTACTTGCTATGCATCTTGCTAGGAGTTCACAGCTTCCTGGGAGACTGAGATTGTTGTCCTCAACTTACAGGTAAGGAAACCAGGAGTCACTTCTGTGAATGGTACCATGTGGGTACAAAACAAAAGGTTGAGAATAAGAATGAGTGCCCTACCTTCATTGTGTCCCCTGGCTCATTCAACAAGATGCTCTTTCAAAAAGGGGCCCATGATCTATGAGTTAAGAGGTTCTGCATCCTCTCCCTCTGGAGCTTGCTGGTCCATAGTTCATCATGAATTAGTGGCTATCTCAGATTCCTAGGGCTACCATAACAAAATGCCACAAGCTAGGTGGCTTAAGACAACAGATACATATTGTCTCTGACCACAGGTTCAAACTCAAGGTGTCGGCAGGGCCATGCTCTCTTTGAAGGCTCCCAGGGAGAATCCCTCTTTGCCTCCCTGAGTTCTGATGGTGTTGTCAATTCTTGGTGTTCGATGGCTTAGTAGATGGCTTACTCCGATCTCTGCCTCCTCCATTGTCACATGGTCATCTTCTGTGTGCATCTTTCTCTGTATTCAAATTTTTCTTTCTTGTAGGGACACTGGTCATTAGATTAGGGCCCACCCTGATGACCTCATTTTAACTTGATTATAGCTGCAACCCGATTTCCAAATAAGGTCATATTTACAGGTACCAGGAGTGAGGACTTCCACATATCTTTTTGGGGACACAATTTAACCTGTAACAGTAGCCAATAGAGTTCCCTTAAGGACATTGAGGGGAGCCGAGTGGGAGCTGAGTAGGCTTCCTCTTCCAAAGGGCAGCTGTCTCCCTGCCCACTCCCATCCACCCCTTCCCACGTCACCCATTCATGTTGTCTGTCTGGTTTCCATAAGCATTAGAGTCGTGGCAAAGTTTCAGGGCAGTGAAGGTCCTGGGAAGCCCTACAGCAAAGCTACCTGTTTAACTTGCCTTAGCCTAGTGTTTCCTTTAGTGACTGCTCTATAAAAAGCTGTTCTCTCACTCCATCCACCCGCTTCCACAGAACCCTAGATAGCAGGTGCTGTCCATGCAGGGAGCCGTCCAGCCCTGGTGAGGCTGTTCCCTTGATACAGTTCACTCCCCGAGATGGGCCCATTTCATTATTGACCAATGCTCCCATTTGGGACTTTCCTTAAAACTGAACTGAGGCCGGGCGTGGTGGCTCACGCCTGTAATCCCAGCACTTTGGGAGGCTGAGGCGGGTGGATCACGAGGTCAAGAGATCGAGACCATCCTGGTGAACATGGTGAAACCTCGTCTCTACTAAAAATACAAAAAATCAGCTGGGCATGGCGGCGCGTGCCTGTAATCCCAGCTACTCAGGAGGCTGAGGCAGGAGAATTGCCTGAACCCAGGAGGCGGAGGTTGCGGTGAGCCGAGATTGCGCCATTGCACTCCAGCCTGGGTAACAAGAGCGAAACTCCGTCTCAAAAAAAAAAAAAAAAAAAAAAAAAACTGAACTAATACCTGCTTCCTTAGAGCTTCCTTACACTGGACCTGGTTCTGTGAAGACACTCTGTAAACTGGACCTACTGCTCCATGATGGCTCTTGCAGATGTAGCCTATTTTTTTGAGACGGGGTCGTGCTTTGTTGCCCAGGCTGGAGTGCAGTGGCATGATTATGGCAGCCTCAACCTTTTTGGGCTCAAATGATCCTCCTGCCTCAGCCTTCTGAGTAGCTTGGACTACAAGTGCATGCTACCACATCCAGCTAATTTTTTATATTTACATATTTTTTGTAGAGACGGGGCTTTGCCATATTGCCCAGGCCAATCTTAAACTCCTGAGCTCAAGCGATCTGCCTGCTTTGGCCTCTCAAAGTGCTGAGATTATAGGCATGAGCCACAGTACTTGGCCCAGACATAGCCTTTCAATACCTGGCTCTCCACGGTAACAGTAACTTAGTCTGTTGGGTGCTGCCTTTGTTCCAGGCACCTGCCAGTGATGGCCTCTTTGCACCCATGAATCCTCCCCACAGCCGAGGCTCTGAGGGGCAAGTGACCTGCCCCAGATCATGCTGTGAGCAGGAGTGGCAGAGCGGTCTGCTCTGGCCAGGGCTCTAACTACATAATCTGTGGCTGCTGCTTTTAGCTGTTCTTCACGGAACATGGTTTCTAGCCCCTCCCACCCTGGTCACCAGAGACTCCAGCAGCAGATGTTCCATTTGCCTCGTAGCATAGACAACCCTTTACTGAGCAATGCCAAGGGCTTGGGGCTCCTCACTGGGGCTGGCTCTTTCGCATCTCAGTAGCCCTGCTCTTGTTCTCTTTTCCCTGGAAGTCTGTTCTGTTCCTTTACCTGAACAGTTCCTCTTCATCTAAGCCCCAGCCCAGGAGTCCACACCTCTAGGAAGTCATGATGACTTCCCTCCCTCCAGCTGTGCCTGAATATACCTGAGGAAATATCAGTTGAAGGAACAACGACTAGAGGATAGAAGGCGGAACAGGGCAGCCTAGCGCAGACCCAGCCAGGCCACCACCTCTATGAGCAGCAGACATTCCTGTCTACGAACTCCTAGAGCCACCTCCCCAGCTCCCCAGGGACCCAGCAGCAGCAGGCTGAGCCTCTACCACCTGCCATCCAGCCCAGGCCTGATTGTTAAGGTCACCTTAAAACCCTCTCTGCCAAGTCCTTTCCTTTCACTTCTCCCTCCCCAACTTTCCTCAGCTCTGATCTTTCCTTTTTTGTCCTCAACAAGTGCAAAGCTGGGCCAAGTTTGTTTTCTGGGAATTCTTTCTCACAAACTGAGTTGCTCTTTGACATGATTTATACAACAACACCTCCTATGGGAACCATACTGGACCCAGGCTGCAGAGGGACCAGCTCTTCCTGACTTACCTGCCCACTGCTCTAGCCCTCCCCCGCTCCTCAGCTTGGATGGCTCTCCCCAGCCCACATCTCATGCCCTTGACTCCCCAGTCCACTTCTTGTGCCTGGTCAGCTCTGTTCCTGCAGTCATTTCACAAACATTTCCTGACCTCCTATGCGTTAGGCCATGGCAGGAAGCTGAAGACTTAGGAGTGAGTCACAGCCATCCTTGCCCCTGAGGGGCTCCCTTTCCTGAAGTGGAACAAGCACATCAGTGAGCTACTAAGAAATGTTTCACTTGGAAGATACTAAGAAGCCCAGAAAAGACAGTCAAAAATACTCATCCCTTTAAAATTGTATAAAATACCAAGGAAAAGTCCCCCTTCCATCCCTCTGATGTCAGCTTCCAAAGAAATGCCAGTTAAACCATTTGGCAGGATCCTTCCCTGCAATCTTCTAGCTTGTACAGATGAAGGGGTAATTATAATACAGTTTTACAATTTGTCTGTCCATTGCTCAGTGTGATGCCTTCTACTGAGGGGATGGATGTTTACTGAATCAATGAGGGATGTTTTGGCAGCAGATTTTCAATCAAGGGTAGGGAAGATACCTCTCCAGGGAAGTATTTTAGAATGTGTGGGGTAGGGGTAGGCATTGGTGGAAAACTTACATTAACAGTTAAAACATCTTTTTGTATTGGAGAGTAGGGGGAAAATCAGTATTTTCCTAATAGGACCATGGCAAAAAGCTTGACAAAATCTTTTAGGCTGCTAGGACCTAGCGAATGAAATTTCCCAAAGAAACCTACTGAGTGTGATGGGAATGTGGGAAAAGAAATGGATGTGTGTCTGAGGGAATCAGGACCCACATCTATCCTGGCTTTCAGAAAGACTCAGGGGCATGGGGAGGAGTTTGATGGGAAAGGGCTTCCAGGCCATGTGAATGGCAAGTGCAAAGTGAGAAAGCAAGGCCAGCCATGGAGGCACAAATAGGGAAGGATGAGCTGGGAGGGAGGAGCCAAAGCTCGTCCAGGTAGCTGAACAAGACTCAGGAGTATTTGGCTCAGATAACTGACAAGGCCTGTCCTGAAATACCAGGCCCAGCTCCATGGGTCTGTCTCTTTGTTTCATTCCAGGGCAGGCAAAATGGGTGTCAGCATTTCCAGACTTGTAGCTACCCTACCCAGGGAGATAAAATGCATCCCCTGGGCCAGGTGGGGTGGCTCACGCCTGTAATCCCAGCACTCTGGGAGGCAGAGGTGGGTGGATCACTTGAGATCAGGAGTTTAAGATGAGTCTGACCAACATGGGGAAACCCTGTCTCTACTAAAGATACAAAAATTAGCCGGGCATGGTGGTGGGCACGTGTAATCCTAGCTACTCAGGTGGCTGAGGCAAGAGAATTGCTTGAAACCAGGAGGTAGAAGCTGCAGTGAGCCAAGATTGTGCCACTGCACTCTAGCCTGGGCAACAGAGTGATACTCTGTCCCCAAAACAAACAAACAAACAAAAACATGCCCCCTGGCTAGGTTTGAGTCCTTGCGCTCAACCCCAGAGAAGGCAAGGTCAGCCCTATCTGGTCCTCATGATTTGAGGGTGGGAAAGTGTAACCCCCAAAGAGATGGGCTCTGTTGCTTGAAGAAGTTGAAGGGGCAGTGGGTACCAGGCCAATCAAAGCTGCCCACCCGGAGGTGTATGGTCAGTGCATACACAGGGCCTTGGAGTCCAGGAGCCTGGCCCAGGCATGCCAGTCACTCCCACTGGTTCCTTGGTTGGGATCTGTTGTTGCCCATCTGTCTTGGAATTTTAGCATAAGGTAGCATGTGATGTGACATGAAGTCCATATGCAGGCATTTTTTCTCCCTGTTGAATGGTTCTCCATTTGTGGTGTTCTGCCCCAGTCTCTACAATTCTTGGGCTCCATGTCACAGGACCAACC